AATTAGACGATCAATTTTATAGTGTCGAATGCACTAATAAGTAACTTTTTGAGCGTATCTAACTAGCTAGGCACAAAAATATTTTCTTGTTGCTTTAATAAACTGAGAAAGGATTTTCAATCATTCGAAAGTGCATGTTTAATTTTTGTTAGTAAATTCGAGAGCTAGTCTTATACCTTTACATACATAGATAACTCGACATAGACTCTGAGTTTTTACACTTTCTTTTTTTCACAATCCTGAAACTTCAAGCTCCTTAATATATTATTTTTGACTTTAACACTTCATTAAAACCTTGAATCTTCTTTTGATGAGACTTAAGTTAACTCTTCATAATAGACACCGTCATTAGACACATTGCTTGATCAGAGATCTTCACTAACTTCAACAAATATCGTTTGACATTAAGTATTGTCCTCTTTTGATGCGAATATGGATAAAGGGTTAGAAGAATCAAAATCAAAGACATTTACTAAGGCATTTGAAAGCAAAAATAATTAAAAATGGTTGAAAGTAGGGAATGAACAAATGCATTCATTAAAGAAGAATCATACTTAGAAACTTATGAAACTATTAAAACAAAAATTATATTAGTTGGTTGCCAGTGAATCTTCAAGAATAATAAAGGGGGAATTGATTCTAATAAAAATATTTCACACGTGATAAGGATTGATCTATAAGGGTTTTTATAATTATAGGGAATCAATAGAATCTTGATTTGGAACAAATTCATGTCAAAATAAATTTCTTTAAAAGAAACTTTGAAGAGACAATGAACATGGAGAAACATGAGAGTTTTGTAAAAGATAAATCTAAGGTGTGTATTTTGAATAAATCTATGTATGGATTGAAGTAAAGCTTAGACATTGTTATCGTCAATTTGATAAATTTACTCTAAAAAATGGGTTTGTAAGGAATAGGTATGAAAATTGTGTATACATGTGAAATAAAATAAGGAAGTCATTACTTACCTACTTCTATATGTTAATGTTATTATGATGGAAATATCTAATACAAACGAGATTGATAAGCTCGGCGAAATATTGAGATGAAAGATCTTAGTGAAGATAAGATAAGAGAATTCTATGAATAGATATCATGAGAAACCAAGAAAAAGGTGAATTGTTCTTCTCAATCTAATTACTTGAAGAAATTGGTGAACGATTTAGAATATTTGATGCTAAAATCGTGAACACTAATTTGGGTCATCATACTAAACTCTCAATTATGCAATGTCCTCGTAACGGAGATAAGAAGAAGGAGATGGAGAGTACTGTAAAGTAGGGTTGGAAGCTTTATGTATGGATGATTTGTAGTAGACCGAATTTAGTGTATGTCATTAGCATAGTAAGTTACTTTATAGAAATCTACATTAGTTATAAAAAAGCTTTGAAGTGAGTGTTGAGATATTAAAATTAATCCTTAAAGGGTGATTTGCCGTAAACAAGACCAGCTCAAAGAAAAGACGCTTATGAGAGATATGTTGGAAATGTGGATGCTAGGAAATTCTTGGCAGGTTTCATGTTTACATTATATGGAACGATTATTAGTTTGAAGGAAAATCAACAATCTATTGTCGCATTATTTAAAACTTAAGCGAAGGAATTTCCCTGGTTGAGGGGGCTGAGGAAGCTATTTAGTTTAGAGGTATGAACGAGGAGTTAGGAATTTCTCAAGAGTGTGTGAAGAAACATTATGATATTTAAAGTGCAATGTCAAATTGAAGGCAAGGTGGAGATTTGTTGTATGTCTTAAAATCTTTACAAAAGTTGAAGAAAAGTATTTTTTTTTCCGAGTTTTTTTAAAAACATGATGCGCTTTGATAACTAAGTATATTAAGATTTTCCAAGAACACTCTGAGATATACCAGAACACTATATTCAGATTTCTCTCTTTTTAACATATATATACACAACAAAGAACTGAGAACGTAAAGAAAAATAAACATATAAATAAAGACATTTATGTACTAAACTAAACACAAAACTCTATCATAAAAAATTAAACATTCCTTTAATCATATCATCTTCAATGTTGGCACTGTTACTGTATATTATCCTATATATTTCACTGTTGCTCCTATGTATGAACACTTTGTTATGAACAAAAGGAGGGATAGTGCCAAAGCTTTCAAAAGAAGCTCAAGTCAGAAGTTAATACAGTTTGAATGTCGTCGATAATGTAGTCCATCGTTCGCGACAATGTTTAAGTCAATCACCCTTTGTCGATGCGATTATAACTCTATTCATTTGTCTGTAAAACAAATTGAATCAAACATTACACAAAAGTCTTGTATGTAATGTAACATAACTTCTTAGACAAGTAAAGTTTCCTTACCTCTTCCCAACCTTGATTTACGAAGAGATTGTCGCCACTTGTTGTTTTCGTCCCAATTTAACTCGACATTGTTATCTGTTTGAGTCATAGTTGGTACTGATAGCTCCACAGGTTCACCATTGTTCATATGGTCCTGTAAAAATATTAGCGAAAAAATATGAATCTTGATCAATATCATGTGTATATGTATATATATTCATCGAGAATATCAAACTTACCTGTGGATTTGTATGAGCATCGGTTTTATCCGCGAGATCAAAATCCATGTTATAATTGGAACTGTATATATCAGCTACATCAAACGATTGACCATTACGACCCTGGTGCTTTGGTTGTGCATACTTGGAAGTCTCGTCGCGATGGCTTGTGTTGCAAGTATGTTTCCTTTCTGAAATATCTGTCCCGTTTTTCATTAAATCATATGTGCCTTTGGCAAAGGTTGGATCCATTGCACTGATTTTGCTTTTTGGGCCGTCTGATAATATTGATGAAACTTCTGGTTTTCGTCTTTTCACCCACGTAAAGCCGCTAGATCCTGAGACTTGTGTCGGTCCTGTGTACGCGCTATAGCTGTTGTAACCATTCATCTTTTCTGCAGTTTCGGATTTTGTATCATACAGATGTTTTTGTTGATCTTTGTGTATAGCTCCTCCTTTTCCCTTTGTATGATGTGGTTTACCATTACCGTCTTTACCGTCTTTACCAGAATTCAGAGAAATATTCTGCATTCCCTTCAAAAATAAAAGAGAAGTAAATAAAAAGTTGCGATTCTATAACGTCGCTAAAGCCACTATTCGACAATGCTAAGTAAATAATACCTCTTTCCAATCTGGTTTGTTGACATTGTGAGGATCCTGCACATTTTTATGGGCTCGTCTTTGCCTTCCAGACGTAACGGCATCTCGTTCTCGCACTTTACCTCCATTCTTTTTCCTGAGGGTGAGGTAAAGACTTTAGTCTAAAAAATTTGAAAAAAAAAGTGCATAGTTTCATGAGAAAACAGTGGCTTGGTGTGTGTGGATATAAATGATGGATAACTCGATAGCGGAAACCTGATAGCAGGTGGTTCAACATATCATGGACGAGACTCTAGTACCATGTTAAGAATTGTGGTAGAGGCTTAACACTACCTTATAAAATCAGTTTTGTAAGGTGAAGATTACCTCAGTTATAAAAACATATGTTCAAGCCATATAATATCTGATGTAAGAATCTTAACAACAACCTTAAGTTTCATTCAATATGAACAAAGGTTCAAAGCCGGATAAAATTGAAGTAAAAACGAAAGCTATACCAATGACTATTTCTTATGAACAGAAAAAATCTTAATAATTTACCTTTGCTGGTCTTCTCTATTTTTAGCATCCATTTCTTTACTTGGTAGATATTTTGGCAGAAGTGATGGATTACAAGCATACGGTGCGGTGTTGAAATACTACATAAGGAACGACATGAAACATAAAATCAGAATCAACTATAAGAAAACATCATAAAAAAATAACATTGTCAGAAAAACATGATTCTGGATTAACGACAAGAGAAGTTATTAAGAAAGATCTCGAAGTTAACAATTAGGAGAGAAAAAGGATTATGGATAGAACATTATGGTAGAAGTTGATTCATGTATCTGAAAAACAATCATGAAAACTAGACAAGCAAGATCACATAGTGCAAGCGCAAAAATTTAACTCATGCAAATAGGATTCACCTCGGACATAAGCGCGGAAGAGGCAGTACCCGCGTTTGGATGGATCAATGGAGAGTAAGGTCTGAAGTAGGTTCACAGCATATAAAGGAATATAACCTTTACACCTGTCCGAAAGCGAGCTTTCGTAACTAGTCTGAGGCTTAAACATTGTTGCAAGAGGAAGCTTACTCTTTTTCCAAAACTCTTCGGGTGGAGACCCGCAAAGCTTAAAAATTTTGTGCAATTGTTCCACCTCAGTTCTCCCCTTAAGGACGGGCTTCCCTAGAAAAAGTTCGGCAAACACACACCCTACGCTCCATAGATCGACTGTAACTCCATAGTTCGTTGATCCCATCAAAAGCTCGGGAGGACGATACCATAGAGTCACTACGCGGCTTGTTAAAGGATGCTTGCAACTTTGGCTAATAGTGTTTGCTAATCCAAAGTCTCCGATCTTTAGAATTCCTTTGTTGTTAACTAATATGTTTGATACTTTAATGTCTCGATGAATGATACCTCGTAGGTGACAGTGCTCGATTCCACTCAATAGTTGTCTCATGTAACACTTAATCTGTCAAGGAAAATACGAAACAACAATTAACGTTACAAATTTTTATACGAATTGTTAACGAAACTAATGAAAACCACAAAATTATCACAAAGGAAATGTTGCGAACCTGTGAGTCTGTGAACTTGATATCGGGGTTAGATATTAGGCCAGCGAGATCGTGCTCCATGTATTCGAATACAAGGTATATACTATTTGATAATTGTGAAGTGACTATACCCTCTAATTTCATGATGTTAGGGTGGTCAAGTGTGCGGAGAATTATGATCTCCCGCGCCATGAACCTAATGCACTCTGGTTGAAGTGTGTCAAGTCGCACCTTCTTCAAGGCAAACATCTTCCCGGTCTCTACTTCGCGAGCTTGGAAAACACTGCTATATGTACCTTGTCCAACCTACAGAAACATAAATAAACATCAAAAAAATCGTGTAGGCACAATCATGTTTCTAAATCGTGGTTCGCAATCAACGTAAGGCTGCATTTGTTCGCATTTTGCAGCCCCTCATCCAAAAAAAATTCCTATAACAAAATTTAGGAATCCAAGGCCTTAAAGTAAAGGTTTGAAACTGCGATCTGAGACGCAGCATAACAGTTCATATGTTTTCAAAACTACAATGCGTCTAGCCTTGGACTCGAGAGCTACAAACCATCTCATCCTAAATAGGAATCTAGGGTTTTAAATAAATGTCTGCAACTGATATCGTCGCGACATAACAAAATCTTAAGTTATCGAAACCACAATGTAAATGCAACCCGTTTGAGGCCGCATATGCTCGCGACTCTCTGCGATATCAATGATCACGGCACAAATGCAGCCCGATTGAGGCTGCATATGATTGCGATTCTCTGCAATATCAATGATCGCGAGCAAATGCAACCTGATTGAGGCTGCATATGATTGCGATTCTCTGCAATATCAATGACCGTGACGCAAATGCAACCCGATTGAGGCTGCATATGAGTGCGATTCTCTGCAATATCAAAGACCGCGACGCAAATGCAACCCCATTGAGGCCACATATGACTGCGATTATCTGCAATATCAATAATTGCGGCGCAAATGCAACCATATTACAATGTTATTATGTCTGAAAGAGAAAACTACCTTATCTAATTTCTCAAAAGAATCAGTTTTGAGAGGAACCAAACCATGAATGGCTTCACCAGCAACAGAAGTAAGCCAAGAAGGCCAACCAGCAGCAACCAGTTCACCTTCAACAAACCTATGTGACAAAGCAATCTTCACATTCAAATCTCCCTTTTTCCTTTCTTCCTTTTTCTTCAGCTCTGCCTGTTGGTTTTGTTGTTGTGTGACAATAACACCAGAATGTCCTCTAGAAGAAGAAGAAGCCTCCGCTACCATGCTTCTACCAGAACCATTGCTCCTTTTTCGCGAACTCGTATAAACATAAGGCCCAACAGGAGAAACCGTATTGGTTTCTCCTGTTAGATGTTTCTTGGAGTTCACACAACCCATTTAAGATTAAAAGAAAAATTCCGGTGACCCGGAATTTAGCCGGCTCGGAAGCGGGGTGTGAGACCGCTTCCGAGACAAAATGATATGGTCAGAGAGGAAAAGGAAGAATACCCAGAATCAGAAACATGGTGAAGGAAAAGAAAAATGGTTTCTTTTTGTGTTTGGTTTTTCTCTCTCTTCCAGAATGGTACACAATGGAAGGATATTTTTGAAGCTGGAAAGAGAGTGAGTTGCGAGATCTACGGAGGATTTGGGAGAATGGTTGGGAGGGAATTGTGGGACATGGTGATGTATGCATTGTTGAGTTGTGACTTTTGGTGTTGTTGTGAGGGAAAGAGAAAGAGAAAGAGAAAGAAAAGGAGCGAAAAAGAGAAAGGTGTAATGTAATGTAATGTAACCGTTGGGAAGGCTGTGTTATTGGGTTGTTCGATAAAGAGATGGTTACTATTGGACAACACTACTTAGGTTGGATTTTGTTTTATTATGTGTTTTTATTTAATTTATTTTATAATTGTAATTAATTGATATCAACTTTGTGGGATATTATTCATTGGTGATTTTGGTAAACAACAAGTTATTTTAAGTTTATTGTTCGAAGGATCAAACTAGTAAATCTTGAGACATATTGTGTGATTTGTTTTTAGAGAAAGTGTGCATTAAAGTTGTTGTGAGTTTAGTGTGAATTGTATCGAAAAAAGTGTTGAGTAAAATGCAAGTAAGAATTAAAAAGGACAATACTCTGACTGGGTCGAATTGATATTTTGAAAAGAAAGAAATGAACAAGTTTAGAGAGAAAGGAAAGACTTTATTTGCATAAGTAAAAACTGGTGGAGAATTTCATACATTTCTTTCAGAGACTCGTTTGTCGCTTATGTGTGGGTACTTTGAGTGTGTATTGAAGTTTACAATGATTTTGTCACCCCAAATCCTAATATTAGAATCTCTATTTATAGTATTTGTATAAATAAATGTCTCTAACGTTCAACTATCTTCCATTCAACACATCATATTTGTTGGACTTGAGACTTCACACACAAGAGCGAGGGTGAATTGTGTGGATTAGAAAAACATGTTCTTGAAAAAAATTTCGAGATTAAAATGGGAGTTTGAAAATATTTTCTAAAACCTAAGATCTAAAAATATTTTTATATACCTTAGTAGTGGAATATGAAGTATTTCAAAAAGTAAAGTGTGAAAGTAAAAAAGTTAAGGAAAAAGAAGAACACCATGATGTATAGAGGTTCAGTCAAATCAAAAGGACCTACTCCTCTCTCCAAGAACCAGTCTTTAGAGTTCTCATTATATACTTGAGAGTTTTTAGTAGGTGAAGCTCATGAACTCCCTTATACAAGGAAATGGTGATTGTCCTACAACCATGATAATACAAGACGGAGGATATGATCATTTGCGTCTTCTCCATTATTGAGACTAAAGTGGTCAAGCTTCTTTCCCAAGTGTAGATTGAACTGTTTAAACTTATCTTCACAAAATATTTTAGCTCAATATGGTTTAACAAGATACCCATTAACCTCTTGAGATTTTAACAGGTTAATCTTTTAACCTATGGTTTTATACGGTCTAATCATGAACCTAATGGCAAGTTCATCAATATTGAAGAACTTCATCCTTCAAATGAACAAGATATTATAATAGCCTTAAGGGAAGTTCAACCATATTAACGATCTGCAGCCTAACTAAATATCAGGAACTGGTCACACAATCCACAACCAAATCTTTTAACGTGTTTAGCTTCCAACCTCGTATTTTTATCCCTAAAATAGATTGTGTTCATCAAGGTGCATCAATAACAATCTTGAAGAATTTCATACACTACTATTCATCCAGAATTACATTAACATATCACTCACAAAAGATTTTTCCTTGCAAAAGCATTTGGCTATAAGAACTAGTTAGAGAAAGTGAAAATGAAAACTTAGAGAGTGTGTGTGTGTGTGTGTAAATACACATTTTGTATTCTGGATGATTTGAATTGAGGAATGTGACCTCTATTTATAGGTGTTGTACCCCAAAATTTGCCCTCTCATTTTATCAACATTTCTCATCACAAGGCTCTTGGAACTCAAGATCAAGCTAGGGTTTGCTCTACTCAAGACACCTCCTTGCACTGTTGACCTAAATTAGGGTTTGAGTTTGCACAGGGATGTTTTGATCCACAATGCCCAAAGTGACTTTCATACTTCATGTTGGACTCATAAGTTTGTCCATACCAAGTTTCAAGCCTTGATTCAAATTTTTGCCCAGTCAATTGGACAGTTGACCTAGAAATCAGCTGTATTGGGGAAAAAGTCAACTATGGCCAATTGACAGTCAAACCTCATAAATTTTGACCCACATCAACATTATGAACTCATATGAACCATTTGATCAAGTTTGGATTACAATTCCACAAGAAATTTGATCAGATCACCAAAAGGGCAAAATAGTCATTTTTAGGGTTTTGACGGCACAAGGGCAATTTTTGACTGTTTGATCTAACCAATGGCAAAACAAGCTCAACCATGGACACAAGGACTCAATGACATCGTCTTGACCCATTCAACAAGTTCAAAAGATCTCAAATGTATAGGATTGACAGATGAATTTTTCAGTCAACTGATCAAAATTTGACTGTATACTGAAAAGTCAAACTTTGACTTTTTGGTCAAAATCAAGTGCCAAGGGTCATTTTTCATCAATACATGTCAAATTATGAAACTTTTTCATCAAGAAACCCAAAATTGCAAATTAGGGTTTAAAATGGAAAAATTTCATAACTTAGAAATTTTCTAAGTTATAAAATTTTCTTTTTTTTTCCCTAACTTTGTCCCATTTTTTCATCAAGATGCAAATGGATTCAAACAAAACTTACAACATGAAAGTTGTAGTACATCACAAAGTCTACAACTTTGATTCACAAAGTTTTCTCAAAAGAAGCTTGGATCTCAAGTTATGATTTTTGGAACAAGGGTCCCTAAAACTTTTAACTTAGAAAAATTTTACCCTAGTTTAGGCAGGATTTTGACCCATCTTCTTGGCTATTTTTCACATAGTTCCACTTGGAGTCTTAAGTTTAATTTCAAATATGGATTATAGTACATGTTGCAAGCTTTCCAAATTGTCTAATAACTCTTCAAACACCTTTGTGGTTAGGGAGAATCGAATGCTTGAAGTTGGCAAAATTTCACTTTGTAACCATGGCCAATACATGTTCATACCAAGTTGCAAATCTGACCAAACTAGCTTAGTACATAATTACAGGTCTCTAAACCCTTCAACATTCAAAAATTGAATGCAAATACATTGGTTAGAGGCATTTTCCTGATCAAGGGAGCATTGTACATTGAATAATTCCATTTTGGGCATAAAGATCACACTTCCATTTTCATAAAGCATAACTTTTGCAAAGTTGTCTTTCTTGAGCATTGAACTTCTTTCTTTGCAGCAAACAAGTTCCACAAACTTAGGCAAATGTACAAGAAGTTGGTGCATGCTTGGAGATAGCCTGTACAGGCCTGTCTCATTTCACTTCAAACTTTGCTTTCAAAACAAGTCAAATGGCCAAAAGCTCATAACTCACACATCTGATATATTGAACTTAAGCCAACATTTGAAACAAGTTTCACACATCCTTGTAAGCCAGAAGCACGAGCCCTTGGCCTCTCAAACCTCCTCATACTCAAAAACCATATTTTCTTGCAAAACAGGGCCAGTTTTGCAAATCACAAGCCACCATCAAATCCCCTCGTGCGTTTTATCCAAAATCACTTCAAACACATTCCAAACCATATACCTAAGTTGTCCAGACCATTCACAAGTTGATGTAACTCCATTTACACACATCAAGTCACGGATGCCGGATCCGCCAACCTAACTCTTCAGGTTCAAGAAGTTTGAACAGGGGCAACTATTGTACCCCAAAATTTGCCCTCTCATTCTTCAAAGATTTCCTCACAAAGATTCTCAAAATTCAAGCTTGCACAAGTACATTGGGATTTTCCAGCACCATAATTAAAAGGAAACTGTAAAAAAAGAAGAGAAAACAGATAAAAATAACATTTTGACGAATTTGGAGGAAAATAGGTCTCCTTCGATTCAGTCCCTTTCGATTGGACTTTGCACCTCCTTCGACTGCTCAAAAGTTGTTGCTAGCATGCCTCTTTTGTCTGGGCATGTGACTTCAAAAAGGCTTCCTCCGACTTAGAAGGAAATGATCTTCATATAAGCTTCAATTGAGTTTGTTTCCCTCTGAAGAAGTGTTTTTCGACTCAGGAATGTCCTTCAAATAAGGAAGTAAAGGCCTCCTTTTGGTTTTCTTCAGTTCAAAAAGTCAATAATCTTTTGGAAGCTTCCTTCGATTCATAAGTTAATAACCTTCTAAAAAGTGTCATTCGACTGCACCATTCGCCCCTCACCTGTTTGCCTTGGATTCATAAGTTTTCGATTGGATGAATGGCTACCTTCTTGTGAATTTCAAATTCATCTTCACATATGATTTGAATGCGCCTTCATATCACCTTCGAATCCATCTACAAATCCTTTGACACGCCATAGTCCTGCATTATGACACAACTGGCGAAAACTAATGCTGAGTTGTTCTAATCTGGTCGAAAGGTGTAGAAAGATGGAGGATTCAACTCAAAAGATCAAGTTGAACGTTTAGACCCATAGGCTAGGCTACGTGTCTTCCCTTTTTAGGCCTTTACCCATTTGTTGTCCAAGACCACTTTCACTTAACAACATAATACTACTTTTAGAAAAGTTTGTCTTGAGCCTTGTGCCTGTTTTTCCTTCAGAAGGAAGCAACCCCATCTGAACCATCCATTTTGCTTTTATGGCACAAGGGGATACTTACTTTCCAGCTGAGCCTTATTTTATTATTTTTTGCTCCCCAAGCTTCCCAGAAGCCTTTCTCTATAAATAGAGAGTTCATTTGCACAAAGGAGAAAAAAAGGAGAAAAGAAGGAGAAAAAAAGGAGAGAAAAAAAGGAGAGGGAGAGAAG